CACCCAGCAGCCGCCGCCCGGCCGCGGGGCGCGCGCAGAAGCTGCTGGCGGCGTGTGGTTGCGGCCCCTGCAGCTCCAGATCCGCAAACCACAGGTTCCCGAACTCTCAAGTTAGGCTCGAAACCCGCTCACCAAGTCCCATCCCCCACCCCCAGCTTGACCCCGGCTCCTGGTAGAGGTCTGACCCCCACCCCACGAGGAGGAGTTCGCAGAGGCGTGGAGCAGGAAGTCAGCCAAAGGGGCGTTCTTAGGGGAGCAAAGTACGGGGGAAATGTCAGCTCACTGCACCCCCAGCCTTAGCCCCTCTCAGAGCAGAAACAGGGTCTCAATAGCCTGTGCCTCCCGGAGGCCAGCTCGGAGCCTTGGCCCCAGGACACTCCCATAAATCAAGGGCTAGCTAACGTGTATGGAGCATCCATTTAGTGCCAGGCTTGGTTCCCTGTTAACTCGCTTAACCTTTACAACCACCCTATGGGGTGGAGACAGGTATTATCCCAATATTACAGGTGGGTTAGAGCGGAGCTCAGAGTACATACACCTGGATGCCCAGGAAGGCCCAGCTCACTGGGACTGGGGTGGGGGTTGGGGGGGAGGCTCTCAGTTCCTGGGCCCAAGGGGACTGAATTAGAGTCACCCGGCACTTGGGCGAAGTGAACCCAAACAGGTGAGATGCCACATAGCAAGTGCCTTCTATTACCTCCTCCAAGGACGGTACCAGATCCTTATTTTTGAAGACAAGGTGCTGGCAGCACTTGCTCCAACCCGATCGGGCTGGTGAGCACTGTGGAAGCCCCCAGCCAGCAGGCACAAGCCCAACACCGCATGTGACTTCGGGGCAATAAGGAAAAGGGGCGAAGAGTTCAAGGCTTTCCGTCTGAGCCGCTTCGTGCTTACGGGGTGGGGTCCCTTCGCTCGCGTGAATGTGCGTGATCTTTACAACGCACATGTGAGGTAGGCAGAGCAGACAGTTCGAGCCATTGTTTCAGAGGAACCTCCGGGGCTTCGCAGGGCTGGGAGTTTCTCTAATGTTGCCCAGATGGCAAGTGGCGTGTCCCCTGACACCTGTCCTTTGTGCTTTCTGCCACCCCAGGTAGAGTAGGGTGTGGAAAAAAGTATGTGAATTGCAAGTGCTCTTAGGAAAACATAAAATAGAAGGGGAAAAAAAAAAAAAAACCACAGAGTAGGACAAATACGCTCATATTTTTAAATGCCCAGCAGAGTTTGGGTTTCATTAAAGGTCTTGAATTTATGAAACGCGTTTAACTAGTGGTGGGGATTCTCCTTTTAGAGAATATCCTGAAGATGGACAGACTCTCAGCCCACCTGGGAGCCCAGTCTTCCTAACGGTCCTTGCATCCGGCGGGCAGTGCGGGAGTGTTAGGTGGTCCTGTCTCTCCCCTGCTGGCCCCGGGGCACCTGCAGGATGAGGACAGTCTCATCATCACATCATAAGCCCAGAGGCCTTGTGCAAAGCCAGGCACACGCGATGAACAAATGCCACGTGCGTAACTGGCGGAGGGGTGACGTCCTCACCTAGAGCAGGGGACAGCGGCGAAGGTGAAAACGTGTTGGGTCAGGAGTCGACGGACCTCACTTCCGTCCCCAGCTCTGCCCCTGAGCCAGCGGGGCCGTCCGTTCCCCTGGGCAGCAGGACTGCTGTCTGAACGGAAGGGCTGTGACATGTGAGTATGCGGTCTGTAAGGCCCTCGCAGAGAGCAGGCCGGCCACGGGCGACGGCCCGGGCAGCAGGACCGAGGGTCCCCATCGCGTGCGCCACCAAATCCGACGAGCTGTGGACAGGCTGATGTGTCTCAGCCAAGAAGGAGACACCTCGTTTATTCGGAGTTTTCTTTATGATGTCCTCGACCTCTCCCCGCGAACTGGGGGCGCCGAGTGCCAGTCCTGCCCCCGTGTCATTTTGCTTTGGCCTTAGCCGACTCTGTGACATGGATAGGCGGACGGGCATCTTTCCTCTGGCTGAAGACGCTCCCGATCGTGACCCGTGGTTTTCCGTTGTAAAAGCGAACACTATTATTTTACCTTTTTAACAAAAGAAGTTGCCACAGAGCCTCTGTCCCAAAGCCCTTTATGAAAAACTAAGCTATACTCTCCCTTTTATCAGAAAGAAGTCTTTTCTTGAGAATGTGTGGAAATGCCATAAACAGGCTTCAGAAGGGACCCCCAAAATGACAGACTGAGGGTTGGCAGTGGCCTCAGAGCTCATCTGGTCCAACTATTTAGTTTGTATCAAGTCAGAGTTCATTTCCCTGGAGCTTCCACCTCTGGTCCCTTGGTTCCTGGGGGCTGGCCATTCACAATGGCTGGTACTTTGCCCAAGATATGTCGGACATGGGCCTGGCTGCCCCCTCCATCCCGTCCACGGTCCTCTCGCCCCTCACACATTACGGCGCCCGGACCGTTGGCAGCTCTCCAGCGCCGGTGTGTCCAGGGCCTCGCCCCTGCATCGGGGTGGCCCGATTTTGTGTCTGCGGTTTCAGCAGCCACTGTTGACGGGTACCGTTCGCGTTATTACCCAAACCTCCTTGGCCCTTGCCCACGTGGGCAGCTGCTGGGTTACGTCTGCCCCAAACCACGTGTGGCCCCACGTGTGGAAACATCTATCTCCCCCCACTAAGAGGCCAGCAGCTTTCAGACGTCAGGACTCTCACGAGTTCAAGCTGATCTCAAGAGATCCAAGGACCGTGTCTTAAGCCTAGAGCTTTGCTTCGAGGGGAAAAAGACAGGGCCCTTGCCCGGCTGGCCAGGGAGCCACCATCGCTGCAGGAAGACAGGGCGTGGGGGACCTCGTAAGCAGGACTGGCAGCACCCCGATCCTGTCCCATCTTCGTTCGGTCACGTAGCAGTCCTGGAAGATGGGCCGGGACGTGCAGGCCAGCAGTGGGGCTCCCCTCCGTGTGACAGGAAATTCAGAAGCGACACCGTCGGCCCACGGATCTCTGTGGCTGAGAGCTGGGAGAGGCGTGGGCCTGGAAGCTTCTGGACCAGGGCTCGGGGGGAGGGAGCGGGGGGAGGGAGGACATCCCGCTAAGAGTGGAGGTGACAGGAACATGCTTTTCTACTTTCCTTTTCTTGCTCTCATTTCTGTATTTTATTAAGGGAAACACAAAGGGAAAATTGTGTTATTTGTTAAAAAACGTCAAAGTGCATTTCGAGAGAGAGGAAAAAAAGCAGACGCGTTGCTGCTGAGACAGAGGAGGCAGGCCTCCGAGGGGGCGGCCGGAGGCCGGCGTGGAGGGGGCGCACTGGCACCCGGCTCCTTCTCCCGGGGGGCCCTGGTCCCGCCTTGATGTTCGGATCTCTCGAAGGAGCCGGGGCACCAGGTGCCTCTGCGCTTTCTGGGGTGAAAGGGGCACCCAAATCGGCCGCTGGAAGAGGGATGAAATCAGGCGGATGTGGACGGCGCCTTAGGCACGGCCAGGCTCTCCCGCCCCTGGGGCAAGGCGCCCCCGGCTCAGAGGACACGGAGGACACGGGGCCACGGTCTTTGGGTGTTGCCGCAGAATCACCTCCAGGCCCACCCACCTCCCTGTGAGCCTGTCGGCTCCTTCGGGAAAAGCGCGGGTCACTGTGTTCCGTGCCAGCGCAGAGCTCTACGCACCAGAGCCCGAGGAGCCCGTGCTGGGGTGCGGCAGCTCTGAACAAGCCCCTGGGGAGACCGTGCCCAGCTCAGAGGCAGCTCTGCGCTGAGCAGGTGCAGAGCCCTCCCCATTTCCACAGTAGCAAGGCCCCAGCTACAGGGTGGAAGGGACCCCGCCTACATCTCCACTCACTGGGGACATTAAGCCCCAGGGGCTGCTGAGAGAACCCGGGG